ATCAATCATCCTTGAGCAACCAAAGAAAATTTTAAAAAATATTTTTAATTAAAAAATTAGTTATTTTAGGATATAAATTGAATTATAGAATAAAAACTTTTAAATAAAGGAAAATCTTAATATCAAAATAATCACCACTCATTTAAAAATTTATATTTTATGACCTAATAAAATTAGATAACAAACTATTTTTCAAAAATATAATAAAAAGAAAATTTTGGCAATTCAGTGACAATTTTTTTTCCTTTAGGGGTTTAAAACTTTAAATATTGATATCAATTTTTCATGGAGACAGAGTTCAATACTTCAAGTGGCTAAAAAAGAAAAAAGAAAAAAACAAGAGAGAGATCCAGTTACCAAGTCAGTACACTTGTCCTATTAGTTTTCTCACAGACAATCTCAAATTCTCATTTCAATCTTCCTCTTCATCGAAGTCGGAATCATCAACAGCAGCATCGCTCTCGGAGTCACTGAGAATATACTTTGTCTGACGGCGGTTTGCCCTCTGCGGCCTTGGTCTTGCCGGGGCAACCTCAACGACTTCATCTTCAATGTTCTCAGAGGTAGAAGGAGAAACATGGGTTTCTTCACTGTTAGATGCCTCACTCCCCTTGCCTATCCTGCCCAACATGGACCCACTTTTCTTGTTGAATGGAGATGCCCTCATCTTCCTCACTTTCTTCTCCGGAGAAATCCCTGGCTCTTCCGCGGGCTTCAACATGTCAGTTAAGAGCTTCTGGCCTAATGATGCCTGAGACTTCTTGCTGGCCGGCCCTCTCTTCTTTGCTGGAGCAGGGGGCTTAGCTGCCTTGGTATTTGCAGCAGGTTTTCTTCCTCCCTTCTTCTTTCCCACTACTGGAGCAGCTTCTTCTTCCATGCTGAAGTCTTCATCATCCAATTCAACTTCATCTTCACTGTCGGAGTTATCACTTACGACTTGCTTCTTCTTCCTTCCAGCAGCCCTTTTGCTAGGTTCTTTCTTCCCGGCAGGTACCTGGGGAACTTCATCTTCCATGGCTGCCAGGTTACATTAATACAAGTTATCTTCAGTTGTATTTTCATTCCCAGTGAAGTTAGAGAAAACAACAATCCCAGCTTGTGATATTTAAAAAATCAAACAATAACATAGGGAAAGCATACCTGCAGATTGTTCAGGAGAAGAGTCAAGGTTATACTTAGCAAGTCTTTCTCTTAATGAAGGCAGGCCGAGTTCGTCATCTTCATCCTCATCAACAACATCTTGCTGAAGAACAGAAAGCGAAACTAATCAGCAAGAACACTTACAAACATGAGGACAACTACGAATGTAGACAGTAAGTACACAGACCTTTCTTGCTGCGGCAGCTTTCTTTGCACCACCACGGCCTTTTGGTTGCACCGCTTCAGAAACGTCCTCTGAAAAATGGCAAAATAGTAATCAAATTGCAGAAAGGTACCAAATATATCAAAAAGAAGCAAACAAGGCTATAGTTCTAAATTCACCTGTTTCCATTACAGAACTGGAAGACATTCCCATGCCATCTGGAATTGCTTCAACAGTGTCAGCTTTCTTAGTAGTCTTCCGCGGGGCTTTTGGTGGTTTTCTCTGAACTCTTGTTCCAACAGCACCCTTCACTTTGCCTTTCATTTCTTTTCTTGCCTCCTCTTCACGAGCAGCATTTTGATCTTGCTCCTGCGTATTGTGAAAAGCATCAGAAACAAGTTACATTAATAACACAACTTATCAAAGAAAACAACTCTAGGGTATGTTCATACATCAAGTTCCTTCTCAAGAGAGTCAAGATCTTTCATCCACAAAGACTTTGGAGTAGCCTTTCTTAGATCTTCCACCTCTCCTTTAAGTTTCTCCCTGTCAGCACATAGCTCCTGAACCTTCTCCAGGGTCAATGTCCCAATTGCCATGGACAACAAGTAATCATAATCACTACCCCGCACTCCTTTTGCACTAAGGGCCTCAGATGTCTCCTCAGTTTCTTCTGTGTCATCAGTTGCACCAGCCACTGCTGCTTCAACCTTAGACTTCTTTGGAAAAGGAGTAAAACCTTTCTCTCGCAGCTCAATGAATAGCTCAGCTCTCTTCCTGTTGTTCACTATGATCTCTCCGCTTACAACTCCAAGGATAAATCTGACCTTGTTATCCAATTTCAGCAGTTCCCTTTCAAGATTTTCCAACAAAACTTTCTGCAAGCATTATAAAAGATTCTTGCTGAGTATCAGCTCTCTGTAATATGAAAAGATTGATGAAATGCTTGGCAAATCCTACAACCCAAATGATCTTACCTTTCTTTTCTCATAAAACTCAAGCCTTATGTGGAAAAATTCCTCAAGAACTGCAAGTAAATTGCACAGGTGGTAAGTTTACCAACTTTGTGTAGAAGCCATAAAATTACCTTAAACAACTCAATATCAGAAATTCTGTACTGTAGAAATAATAAGGACCATTGCATATAGTACATACTTTGCTCTGGGGTGTCATATTTCTTAATCACGCCTTTCGGATCAAACAAGTGCATGTTGCTGGTGCTGATTGTAGTCGTTAGTTTAAATTTCTTCATCAAACCATCTTGCCTCGCGATCATCATCTTCTCCTCAGTCAAAATAACTTCAAAATCCACATTTGTATCATCACTGTACTGCCTAAATTCCTGCAACCAGCACAATCATCTATGAGAAAAGGAAAAAAAGAGAAAAACTGTAAGGAGTCTATTGGAATCTCTTAATACTTTACCATGATAAAGGGATCATTTCCTACGGCCATAGATTCCAAAAATTCCCTATAATCTTGCGTCCACCTACGCACTGGCAGCTCTGTAATCCTGAGAGAGGTCTCATTGACTTCCTCCATAATTCCAGAAACAGTGTAGCTAGTGCCAGCTTCCCTTGATGCAGTTTTCTCAATTGTTGCCTTAAATCCTCTATACCAAGGATGCATAGGCTCCATATCTTCACCATCTAACAACCGCCTAACATTTGCAATTATTTCTCTTGGGTTGTAGTTGGGAATGAAAGAGCTCCAGCCAGTCCCAATTCCTTCACTTCCATTCACAAGGACCATTGGTATAATAGGCATGTACCTAGACACAAGAAGAAAAGTCTTGAGCTTTAGTTAATAGTTACTCATCATTTTTGTAGTAAATGACTTGATTAAGAATAATAACTTACCAAGTGGGTTCAATAGATTGCCCATCCTCATTCAAGTAGTCAAGAAGGCCATCATCATCCTTCGGGAACAGGTATCTTGTGATGGGAGATAGTCGGGTAAATATGTACCTGGCACTAGCAGCATCTTTGCCTCCCTGTAACATTATTCATTATGCATGAATTAAATTAATAAAAGTTTGTGAGGCTTTGAGCATGATTCAAATTTAAGAAGCAAGATTAACATCTACTCACCTGATTACGAGTGCCAAATTGACCATTTGGTTGCAGAAGGTTTATGTTATTACTACCTACAAAATCCTGGGCCATTCCAACAATGGTACTGGCAAGACTCTGCTCACCATGATGGTAAGCAGAATGCTCAGAAACATAACCTGAAAACTGGGCAACTTTTGCTTCTTTGACAAAATTCCTCTTGAAAGAGCAGAAAAGAATCTTCCTTTGACCAGGCTTTAGACCATCAACCATTGAAGGAATTGACCTTTGGAGATCCGCCATAGAAAACAGTATAAGCTCCTTATTAATGAAGTCACTGTATTTGATGAGCTTCTCATTATGATCTAGGTGAGTACCAGGCTGCAAATCATTTAGGAAATAAACTTCCATTAAAACACTATTTCACAAATCTAATATCTTAGGAACAAGATTTTTATTGTTTTGATGGCATGAAAACCTCAAACTGCCGCAGCCAATTCTTCCTTGCTTCTATCTTCTTCTTACTGAATGCAAGTTCAATTGCATCCCCATCTTGGTCATCCCCCCAAATAAATTCTTTCTTGTGCTTATCAAGATTGCTAAAGTACTCCTTACCTTCTTTTGATGTGCTGGTTCCCAACCCCTGCCAGGACAGGTATAGCATTAACACAAAAGAAATGTAACAAAAAGTAGCAGCACCTGATCTTAGCCAGAAGGCAAGTATGTAGCTGCACTAGACAGTGAAATTTTAAATAACTAAACTGCTTAATTATAAATGAACAATCAAGCAAACCTTATAGTATTTAATTGTCCAACCAGTGGCATTACCCCTCAAACTTTCCTTCCATGACTCATACTCAGGCATGGAATAAAAAGATAACACAGTTCCATTCCTGTGAGTAGCCTGTGCAGAACAAGGATATGAAGTTAGAAGCATGCCCCAGGAAGTTGATTCACCAAGAAAAGTAGTTAGCAAAATGAACAAACCTTCACAATAGGAGTTATAAACTCAACCATGAATGAAGGGACTTTTAGCAATGATGGCCAGAATGAATGGATGAAATTGATCAACAACCCTTTTATATGGGAACCATCATGATCCTGGATACAAAAGCAAAGCAATTAAAGTCCTCATTTTCCCAAAATCAATGCAAACTGAGTCCCCTGTTCGGTATTGAAATACAAGATGCAACAGAATGAAGAAACAAAAACACAAGAAAAACATAAGAGCAAAAGAGCTTAAGGCATTATACCTGATCAGTCATTATCATCATATGCCCATATCTCAAAGATTTGACACTGGCATATTCCTTTCCTTGCTGTAGTCCAAGAATCTGCTTGAGATGCTGTATTTCTGCATTGTCCATTAGTTGTTTGTGGCTAGCTTCTCTCACATTTAGCAATTTACCTCTCAATGGGAAAACACCATAGTGATTTCGGCCCACAATGGCAAGCCCCGCCATCTGCACAAACACAAATCCATTATTTACAGAATAGGACACCATAGTCATGTTGTTGTTGAAACTATAATTTCTCAAATTTGATAGATTACCGCAAGAGCCTTAGCTGAATCTCCTTCAGTCAAAATCAAGGTGCATTTGTCTGAGTTCCTCCCTCCAGCATCATTAGCATCTTCCAGCTTGGGAATGCCCCGAATGGTGCCTGTCTTTGTTCCGTCAGTCTTTTTAAGATCTTTGCTCTGCTTGAAATTTGCCCATGAGAGAAGGCTATCCACAACTCCAGATTTTGCAACTGCAATGTAATCAAAAGACAAAGACTCAGAACTTTCATGGTTGGTGAGTTTGTTCTTTAAGACGGAAACAAGTAATGCAATCTCGCAAACCTTTCTTCAGAAACTCTTCTGGAATTTCACATTTAGACCCAAAACTGCTCTGACGAAGTGTCAAAGTTTCCTTTGTTTGTGAGTCAAAAGCAGGGTTGTCAATAAGAGCATTGACAAAAACCCACAAATGGTTCTTCACATTATGCGCTTTTACATTGGCATTCTTGTTCTTCTTATTTACAACATTCATCACATAGTTAGATATTTGATTAGTGACATAGTCAACATGTGTTCCACCCTTGATTGTAGCAATCGCATTAACAAAGCTGACCTGGTTATCAAAAAAAATTCAACCCAATTAGGTTAAGACTGGAGATCCAATCTTTGTGGCACTAAACTACCCAAAAATGCACCCAAAAGTAAAACTGTATGTACCTGTTGAAACTGCCCGTCACTGAGACTCACACAGACCTCCCACCTATCGTTAACTTTCTCCATAAACCTAATCATATCAGCAAATTCAGTAGGCAACTTCCTTAGTATTAGCAAAACAAATGCTTATCTAATAGAATTCAGATAAGTACCTAGGCAGGGGTTCTGGCCTATGTTTAGAGGCAGAACTTAGGTAGAGATTCACATAATCCAGAAACGATTTCACAGGGACTCGCTTCCCATTCAGCTCAACTTTCACAGTCTTACCAAGGCAACCAGCTAAGTCAAAAACTCGCTTCCTCATCAGGGCAACCACGTCCTCCTCCAAATGGGTCATATTGAACTTTGCCAAGTCAGGCTTAAAAGTTACTTTAGTCCAATTCTCACCCTCCTTACACTTCGTTATGACAGGCTCTGATTTCTTCCCCATGTTGTTGGAGAAAACCTGTCAGAATAAGCAAAACTAGCTTATTAGCATGAAAACGATTATAAACAGGACAGGAGAAGATCCATTACTGTCTGGTACATTGTAGAAACAAAAACAGATATGTATGATGATTCGCACTTCAAATCTAACCCTAGTAATATCGATAAATTAACCAGGGAAATGTAGGGAAACTGGGAAAATCAAATACCTGCTTGTACTTCTTTTGCCTCTTCCCATCGGCGGTCTCGATCACAAACTCCGTGGAGAAGATATTGGTAAGTTTAGCACCGTACCCGTTCCTTCCTCCGGTTGTCTTCTTCACGGAATCATCATAATTGCTACTGGTCAACAGATGGCCGAAAATCAATTCAGGCACGTATACGCCCTCTTCTTGGTGAATCTCCACAGGAACTCCATCTCCATTGTTGCATACGCTGATACAATTCTGGTCGGCATCTATGACCACTTTAACAGAGTCCATGGACGAGTCTCTCTGCTTGTTATCGGCGGCATTAACGAGGATCTCATCGAAGATCTTGTAGAGGCCGGGGACGTAGGTGACCGACCGGTGGACCATCTCGTCGTTCTCGTAGACCCAGAGGGTCTGGGTGTGCTTCTCAATGGATCCGACATAGGTGTCGGGTCGGAGCAGGATGTGCTCTAATTGGGATTTCTTCTGGTAGGTCTCCTCGATCGTCTTCTGAGATTGGACATTGACGTTGTTGCTGCTCTGCAAAGGGAGTTTGTCTGCAACCATGGTTGCTCCGGCGTGGATTCGGAGAATCAGGGTTTTGGGTGTTAATGGAAAGGGCGGAGTGATGGGAGGAAGAAATGGGATTCCAACGTCTACGTGGATTTTGAATTTGAATTTGAATTTGAATTTTGAAATGTTTGAGCGGGAGTTGAAATTGGAATCTTTATGATCGGACGGTCTGTATTTGTTTGGTTAACACGTGGATGCTGGAGAGCCCTCCCAACTGAATCTAGCTTTAGAAGGTCCAACATTCAACGTCTCCGAAAACGGCATCGCATAACAGAAGCGCATGCGCATCCCTGTCTCTGTTTTTCCTTTTTCCACTGTTTCTTTCTTTAATGTTGCTTTAAATGAATTTTACTTTCTCTTTTTTGTTTGGCATCTTTTTAATCTCTTTGGTTTTTTTGAACAATTTGTCAAAGAGGAGGAGAAATGCACCTCATGGTTGTAGAGTATCACTTAATTTGAAGAGTCAGATGTATTTTTTTAATCTCTTTTTATAAGTAAAAAGTTTTAAATTTAAATTATTTTTTTATTGTGTAAGTTTTTAAAATCTAACACTATCAATGTTCATGTTCATGTATTTATTTATATCTTTTTAATTGATTTGATTAAATTAATAGAATGAGAAAGTAAAAAATTAAGATGTATAAAAATTAAAATATATTATATGAAATTTATTATGTAACTATAATTATTATCTTGATATTTTTTATTTGCTAATTGTGAAATTTAGAACATTAAAAAAAAAAAAGAAATCAAGAAACTAATTAAATTAATTCAAGGGTGAAGCTAAATTTATGCTCACTAGCCTGCATGATTTAGCGTAAATTATTGGTTTCACACACATTTTTATGGTTTTTTTTTTTTTTTTTTGCCAAGAGACACTTTTATTGTTGAAATGGTGAAATT